ATACTGATGGCTAGAACAGATTAATTGTATTTGCATTAATTTCTATGAGAAAAATTGCTTCAGTTAACGAACAATTCGGTTAACGAATTGATCCATGGAACAAACATAATCCGTTCCATGAGTCCTCATGGAACGGATTATGTTTGTTAACCGGGGTTCCACTGTAATTTATTCAGTTATATTTTAATATTATCATTGCAAGTAAAAGTGTTCTTAAGATTTATCATTTACTTTTTAGATAAGCACTAGTCATCAGAAATATTTCATCAGTAGTTAATTATCAAAGCCTTTGAATATCAGTTGATAGATACATCAGTTACATGTGTGACTGATTAACTATTGATAAATAATTTATTTTGTCAAAAATTTAAATTTATACTTAGAGTTTATTGTGGTTTAGATACAAATACTGTAAACATTAGAAATATCCCATCAATAGTTAAAATATGCTGTAGTTATGAGATGTATCCCATGATAGGTGAATGTGAACTCATTCGAACATTACTCAAGAATGCATTCATTACATGATTAATTGTAGGCAGTCATGTTTTTACTTTGTAATAACTTGAATTGTATTTATCTTTATTTTTTTAAAGTATTGTTTTATTATTTTTTAAATGTAATACTGAAGAGGATTCGCTAAGACAGTGTGATTCCAAACGCATTTACGTGGATTGTTCAAACAGTTCCCAAACTTTTTGAATAGTGCACCTCCAGTTGGTTATTTTTAATCCGCTTGGATGCGTTGTGTCCACGGAAACCTCCCGAGTAACCTCCTTCAATCCATTTGTTGATATCTTGTTTTGGTGATTAGTTATGGCTGTTTATGTGAAGGGGTGTTTGTGGGGTTCGGCAAAAAACTGGATCCATGGAAATGAGCTCTTTGAAGGAGCAGCGTTGTTCTGTGAAATTCTGTGTGAAACTTGGGAAATCCTTCACAGAAACTTCCTACAGTTGGTTGAAACATCCCCCGCCCCAAAAAAGCTGAACAAATTTACTCAAATGTTGATGTGGTGTTGACTGTTTTTTTCAATGCAAAGGGGGTTGTGCATCACAAATACCTACCTACAGGCCAGGCAGTCAACAATAAGTACTACCTGGGGGTTATGAAACACCTAAGAGACAGAATCAGGTGAAAATAGCCCAAACTTTGGAGGAGCGGCAAGTGGTTTTTTCACCACGACAATGTGTTGGCTCATTTGTCCCTCAGAACTCGTGAATTTTTGGCCAAAAACAAGACGCTCTGATTTCCCACTCATCCTACTTACTTGACCTGGCCCCATGCAACTTTTTCCTGTTCCCCAAACTAAAAAACATGCTCAAAGGAAAAAGATTTGCCACCATTCCAGAGATAGAAAAAATATGATGGATGAGCATTTCGGAAAAAGTGTTCCAGGACTGTTTCAAAAACACAAAAACACCATTGGAATAAGTGTGTACGTTGGGGAGGAGACTACAGTAGAGCATCGATTATCTGACTCAATTGAGGACTCAGGTTGGTCGGATAACTGAAAAATCAGATAACCAAAAAGAATGAAAAAAATACATTATTAGTATAGTATATTAGTATGTCGCTATTAACCAACTTCACATTGAATTTTCATCAATGTTAAGCCTAACAAATTCTTTAAAAAAATAATAATCGTTGCTATTGTATCGTTAAAAATTATTTTAAAATTATTTTATTGCTCACAAAACAAACAACCACTCATAATTAGAAAATTAAGTCTCGTTTAAATACTGGCCTCCCTTCAATGGTCGAGCCAGTATTGCCAGCTAAAACATGCAAAAATTTAACAAAAATAATATTAAAGTAGCCAAGACATAGCCAAATATTGTAGTGCCACATCACTAGCAGACATTTGAAATTTGCCGACTAGAATGGCTGGTTAACCGATGTGACGGTTAACCAACCATTCTAGGATAATCAATGCTCTACTGTATTTTGAAGAAGACCCTGACAAATAAATTGTAAGTAAAGTATTTTTTTTGTAATAAATAAAGTTTGGGAACTTTTTGAACAACCCTCATATATTGACGATAAAATTAAAAAAAATGTGTTAAATGCTAGCATGGTTACTTGGTTTGCTGCAGTTGTTACAATTGAAATTCGGAATAATTTATAACAAAATCACTTGGTTTATGAATTAAGAGAGAAATGACAGAATATGTATAATCCGAATCCCAATAAAATAATTAATAGATTTTTGTTGTTTTTATTGTTTTGTCAAATTTCCTTTTTTCTTATTATAATTTATTTAACATTTTGTAACTTTTAAAAATATTTTATATTTTAAAATTTAGAATCTGCAAATTGTTTTTATTGTTTTTTCTTTCTTTTTTCAAATATAATACAAAAACATTTAAAAAAATAATAGAACAGTATATTCATTTCATTATAAATGAAAAGAATTTAAAAACTGGATTCAAGATGATGATAAAATAATTCACATGGTATATATCCAATACAGACCTGAATTTTGAAGATTTTATTATAAACAAATGCAACAACAAAAATTATATTAAATATTGATATTCCAAACCAAACAAAAAGAATTAAATTTAAATTCAGCCAAGCAAAATACAATAATTATTAATGACGATTATGTTAATAAATTATTTGTCTATTAATGTATTGATTATTAAGTAAATTGTATATAATATAATTTTTACAATATTGCAAATAAATTCAAAATTATTTATAAACTCTTGAGCGTATGCTATTCTTCAGGTAAGTAATAAAATAACATAAATACAAAGTGTTTGTTATTTTATTATCATATTTGTAAATTATTTGATTAGTTACTATGATAATAGTTGCTATAGTTAAAGTGTTCAAAGTGACTTGCCTAAAGATTAATATTAAATTATTTAATATAAAATATTTTGAATTATATTGAAAAGTCATTGTAATGATGTTTTAAATAGTGCTAATAGTTACTTTTCAACCTTGTTATATGAGTATGTGTATCAAATTATATATATTAATAATAATGTATTATTATTATATAAATAATAATATTTTAATTCGATATATTAAAACTCAAAACTGGAAAAGATGGCTTTTGTGGCTCTTGGAAAACATAGCCTTAAAACTGAAGATTAATGAACAACTGATCTTTCTTCACCAATGTTGTATTAATAGAATAGTACCTATGAGTGCACAAAGAATTCATTTTCCAGCAAATTGCATCTCTCTCAAGAAGCTACCTCATCCAAGTGCTTAAGCCATCTTATGGTAAAAAAATGTCATGTCATGAAACTAAAAGTATATTACAAAAGACTTGATTCAGATCTTAGGCGGTCTATGCTCAAGAGCTCTGAAGTGATGGTACATTTTAACCAAGCTGAAAGCAATCTTGACTCCTTAAATCATTTCGAGTTTCTAATGTTTAATGAATTACTGTATATGAAATACATTAAAATATAATTTGATACCCATACAATAAAGTTAAAAAAAAATAACTATTAGCACTAATTAAAATATTATAATAAAATTTTCAATGTAATTCAAAATATTTTAAACTTCTGGCAATTATCTTATGTATACATTTATTCAAACAAAAACATTGGAAATATAAAAAGTTGTGCCAAGTAAAAACTTATGACAATTTAGATGACAGTCAAATTTTTTCTTAGGAGTTTTTCTTTGGTAAAGATAAACTTGATGCTTCAAAGTGGTATCCACAAAAATTTTACCTGTATTATTTTCTACAAATTGCTTCCAAGTGCCAAGCTTACTATTATCAAAGAAAAAAATTTGTGTGTCATCTAAATTGTCATAAGTTTTTACTTGGTTCAATTTTTTACATCTCAGGTGTTTTTGTTTGGATTTCAATTGTGTTTTGGTTAATGACTGTGTTATAACACAAAGACCCAAGACAATGACATACATTTTGGTTGGCACTTGGCCACTGCTGCTGACTTAACACTTTCAATATGTCATTTAGAAAAATCATCATAAAATATTTTCATTTATGTAAATTTGAACTTTTGTTATTCTGGATAACATTTTGAATGAAAATCAGTCACTTTCATGAAATTTTATCCTTATAAGCATAAAATTAAGCCATAAAAGTGAAATAGACCCAATGAACTTTGATTTAATGACTAACCCTTTCATAGAAAATCTTGAAAGTTTGCACACTACCTAAGAAAATAATTACCTTTCCATACAATATTCAGAATTTCTTTAGGTGTTTGAGGGCAGAGAAATCAACCCCCAAAAATCAGCAACTCTGAGTCTTGTATAATAGTCAGTCAATGACTATTTACTAGCATTATATTTTTCTCTGTATTTTATGAAATATTTGATTATTTTATATATTTTACTTTTTTAAGCTGTTCACAGACTGTTTTGGTTTTAAAATTTTAATTATAAAAATTAAAATATTTTTGTTTATGATTCTGTAATTATTGTCTTTAATCTTTAATGATCTTTAATGAAAACAACACTGCAAGTACTAGAAACATTTACTAATTAAAATATTTCTTGGATTCTATTTATTCGCATTCATTTTTATGGAACTAGCAATTTTGTGTATTATTAATTATAAAATGCATTTCTTTTTAAATTAAAAAATTGTATTTATATCATCATCATCATCATCATCATCTCATTTAAAATTTGTTTATTAAATGATTTTACTAAATGTTATTTCAATTATTAATGAATGCGTGACATGAAAATCTCTTTTTAGATATACAGACTAAGGTAAAAGACACTTGCAATTATGAAAGCAATCTGAAACATAAAGCCTAATATCTTATTCAGAGCATGATTTTCTGCTGTAAACTATTCTCCAAAGAAACCCATTAGTGTTAAGTCAGGAGAACTTGTGAGATATTCTAAATTTCCTTAACATTACTGTCAAATACCTTTTGTCTCACCTTCCAAAGTGAAGTTTACAGAAAGTTGCAAATTAATATAGTAATGAACAAATAAAAAGATGATCTTCAATAATATAAAACTTTTAAAAACAAATAAATAAATAACTTACAGCCTTCATAGTGTACATAATATTCATATTTTCCTCCTTCTTGTTCATTTGTTCGAACTTGAATAATTTCTGCAGGATCTAAAACATAATTTTAATAAAATTTATTAATACGAATAATTAATATAAAAAATTTGTATTACCAACAATAGATAATAATAGTGTTTTCTTCCATTCTAAATTATAATTTTCTACTTGTATCTAGGAAAATCAGTTTATATGATTTTATTATTTCAACAGTTTATTATATTTAGATATTTAAATGCATTTTAAGTACAATTTAAGAAATCTGAAGATGTGTGAACATTGTAATGAAAAGTGCATTAATTTTTAAATTTAACATTCTGTAGAAATGGTAATTTGTCTTTAATTAAGCTATTTAGCTATATTATGAAAGTGTTTATACAAATAATTTGGCACAATTTTTATATAATTAAATATGTTTGTTTCCATTAATTTTATTTTTTACCTACAATTGAGACAGATGACGTGATTATAAAACAAAGTAAAATAAATTAGAATAAAAGTTATAATTTCATTATTAAATTCTTAATGCATATATAACCTTTTCCAAAGTTATATATTTAGTATTTACACTGAAGAGCAATTGAATTAAGGATAGCTGGCGTTATGCAAATTTTGAGTTGTGTGTAAGCATGAGTGATTTGCAGATGAGGTAAGCAGCAGTTTGACAAGATAAGGAGTGCTGCTAATGGTTTCAGTAAAAGTCAGAAGCAAAATGGGTAAAAGTAAAGATCTAAGCACATTTGATTGTGGACAAATTGTCGGGGCCTGACAAATGGGTCACTCCATTTCGGAAGTAGTGGAAACACTGGGATTTTCACGCACCACTGGGTCGAGGGTGTACTGTGAGTATGTCGATTCCAGTAAAACCATCGCTGCCAGGGTCAATTGCTGCGGACAACAGCATGTGGATGAGTGAGGTCGTCAGTGGCTAGACCATGTTGTAACAGCGGATAGACAGGCCACAATGCAATAGACCATCTGTCGATTTAACGCTGGTGCACAGCAAGGTGTAAGCTGCCACACCATACAAAACCATCTCCTCTCAATGGGGTACAGGAGTCATTGTCCTATGAGAGTCCCCCTACTGACCGCACAAAACAGGGCGCAATGATTAGCATGGGCATGGGAATGTCGCCAATGGATTGTCAAGATGTGGAAAAATGCTGCCTGGACTGATGAGTCGAGATTCACTTTGGTACATGCCGATGGCAGAGTACGTGTATGCCATAAACAACATGAAGTGATGGCTCTTTCCTGCCAGCAGAGAACTCTTCAAGCTGGCGGAGGTGGCATTCTTGTGTGGAGACTGTTCACATAAACTGAAATGGGACTCCTGGTACGTGTGACAGCGTTGCTGACAGGTGAACGTTACCGAGATATCCTTGATGACCAGCTGCTCCTGTTTGTTCATTCTTGACAGCCCACTACAGAGATTGTCTTTCAACAAGACAATGCACCGTGCCATCACTCCCAAATTGTATCGGAATGGTTAGTTGGAAGAACATTCCACAGACCTGCACATGCTTTCCTGGCCATCATGGTCACCTGACCTCAATCCAATCAAGCAGATCTGGGATACAATTGAGAGAGATGTTTGAGGCTCCAACCACCTTCCACCTAATCTTAGTGATTTGTGGGAAATTATTCAGGACTCATGGATACATATGGCTTCCCATTGCTTCCAGTGTCTTGTGGAGTCCATGCCAAGACAAATCGCAGCTATCATCAAGGCGAAAGATGGTGCTACACGCTACTAGACAGTTATCCCTAATTCAATTGCTCTTCAGTGTATACGAAGAATATAGTACTAAAACACTTTACAGAATCTTCTTAAATAAAAACTTCAATAAGTCATTCCTTGTAGAAAGACTAAACTAAGATTTTCAATTCTTCCTCTGGATCTTTCTCAGGTCAATGGTTTTAGAATCACAATGCTTTTTTGAATATCTTCACAATTGTTGCATTTAAAATGTTTCTTTCTCAAATGCATTTACAAGTTTTAGTACTATATACTTACTAACCAGTCCAAAACTTTGTGAGTAAAATATAAGATTGTTTTATTGGATAAAAATCTTTAAATAGTGACAACTCAACTGCTTCAAGCCTTGCTGGCTCTTCTTCAGGGATTAAATAATTCCAACAAACAATTATTTATTGTGACACTGTCACAATACCAGGCTTCAATTTTTTAATCATATTTTTAATTTATTTAATTTAAAATGTTCTCTCCACCTTTAATTAATTAGTATTGTCTTGCCCCTGTACATCATACTTTTCCTGCTAGCAACAAAGTCATGCTGGTAATCTATCTAATCCTTTTAGGAAAACATTTTTGAATTGAAATAACATGATTTACAGTGCAAACTGGAAATTCAGAGTTAATCAGGGTCTCCTGCACCTAAGTTTTCCATATATGACCTCAACTTTCATCTATCTAACTTCATTTTTGAGATTAAGGAAGGACAGATAGACGGACATTATAATGGGAATTTATAAGTCTAATTTTTTCAAAATGCAGCCCATAAAAAACATCCATAAAGTTCCTTTTTAAAAAATAATCTCAACTTTAAGTTTGTCTTTTTTTTTCTTTCTTTTTTCATTTTTGATTCTTTCTGTTCTATAAACACTAAAAGGGTCTTTTAATCATATTTTGACCATGCATACAATGGGTTGGTCAGGTGGTTAGGAATGAGGCCAACATATCCTAAATAGACCACCCCAGAAAAATTCCTAGGGACTTTTGACTGCCCTGTTTCAATTCCAGGATTCTGACATCTTATTTATGTTAATAAAGATAAGCTATCAAGGCTTGAATGTGTTTAAGTAAGTTGTAAATATAGAAATATTTAACTCTAATGAAGCATAATTTTCTTTCAAGATTTCAAAACTTTTTGGTATTTGTGAGTATTCCATTTGTCACATTTTAATCACTAGCATCCATTGTGCTTTGTTTCATAACTTATAAAATTACATAAAGAAATTTGAATAGGTAACCAAATGAAATAATTTAATTTTGCACAAATCAAAGATTTAATTAAGATTAACTTGTTTCATTTATAAAGTCAAAATAACTATTTTTCAAAGAAATCACAAGTTAATATTACTCTAAGAAATTATATAGTAATAATTTTTTAATATTATGCACCAACATGCAAATAAGTCTTCAATTTGAAAATTTGTGTCAATGGGACATTTTGTAGAGAATGCATTATTCATTCAATATTCAGAATTTGCCTATGTCTGATGTTAATGTGGCTCATATTCTTCAGGAATATGGTACTATACATTACATTCTGAAAGCTTTTGTAAAAAAAAGGTATTAAAATTAAGTTGTATTTTGAGTAAAAAATCTAAAATGGAGGTGTAACAAAACAAGAATTGTAGTGTATGATCAAATACACAGTAAAGGGCATAAAATTCTACATGGAAAAGAAAACATCTAAATTAGTATATTGTTGAATTGTACCGAGAATGGCATTTCAAATGCAAAGTAAGTCTCAGGAAGGGTGACCTAACAAAGTATTGACTCAATGCCACTCTGGGGGAACCCGGGATCAAATCCGGATAGGTCAAATAATTCCTAGGAAATTTTCAGGGGTGATCTGACTGGAAACGTCAGCTCCCGTCTCTCACCACCCAGCCACCCCACCATGGGCTTGCTAAAAGAGACCTTCTTAGTTTTCCCCGGGTTGGAAGTTTAAAAAAAAAAAACTATTACTATTGTTCATAAAAAATGTCCAGCCTATCAAATAAGTTCTAGATAGTGTAAGTTGAATTACTTTAAAATTTAATTCAATAAAATAAGTCACGTAACTATAATAAACATATTTAATTGTAATATTTCAGAAAAATTATTTTGATTAATTTGAAATAAATTTTTAAGTCTGTATTATGGATCGCGCCCTATTTCGTCTCCGACGCGACGGACGCTCGCGAACCGAATGCGACACGCGACGCGACATGCGAGATATAATCCGCAAATTCCCCTTTTTTTTTTTTAATTATTGACATTCTTGTTGATACTGAAATATATAAACAGTAAATTATCATATTAACAAATGCTTAAAACAGTTTATTTATTCAGTTTAGGGCGAACAAAGTAATCAATGATTTGTATGTATATTTGAACTTGTATTAAATGACTTACGCCATGCTTCGTCAGATCGACGAACCATATAATGTTCACCAATCTCCAAAACGGGCTCATTACTAACATTATTCATGATGATGTTTTGATTACTGAGACTGCATCTTTCATTTACACCAGAATCGTTATTCGTATCGGTATTATTAGACATAGTCACGTTAGAAACAACATCCTTTGTTTCTTCTTCCGCCATACTTAACAATTACATATTCAAAAAGCGCCCTCTGGCAAATTAATGTCGAGTCTTGCTTTTTTTTTTTTTTTCAATATGGTTACCAGATACGGATAAATTCAAATTTTTAATTTATACCAAACGAAATATAACTACAGTAATACCTTGACTTACGCTACCCCGACTTACGCGAACCCGGAGTTACGCGATTTTCAAATCTCGTCGATTCGTCTTTTGTTTGAGTGCCACGCAACTCTTGATTACTCACTCCCTTCACACTATTGTTCGGCTTACATGTTCGGACATGTCGCGCGGAATCGACACATAGCTACAATTTATTTTGTTATTTATTTCTGTGTTTGCTATATCTACGGAGACTCGCGAGACTCTATGTGGTGATTTCTTGTAACCGTGAACGAATCAAAAGACGAGATAAGATTAACGAGAACATTTATTAGCTTACATACAAACACAAATTACATACATTTTACACAAATTGCGATATTATACCCCGACTTACGAGGTCATAGCTCGGTCCCACCTATCGCGTAAGTTCGGGGTATTACTGTACTAGATCCCAAATCGGATAGTGATAGGGTGATATTAGGCATAAGCTACTTGGTTACACGGCCCCGGAGACAATGATTCTAGAATAAACTCATTAGAAATTGGTTTTAGGTACGGGTTTTTCTAACTTCAGATACAGGGCCGTGCCGTGCTATGATGCAGAGATGCGGCCGCATCAGGCGGCACCGTAATGGGGCGTCATAAGCATCATTTAAGGTGTGGCATAAGCGCCATTTCGAAGACTTGCATCATACAGAGAAAATCCATCGCACGGCCCTGTTTTAAGAAGTTATAATTTTGACGATACAGTAGTTTCCCTTCTTTCGATGATTCTCTATAATATTTAAAAGATGACTGTTATTCGTTTTACGCTTTAT